AATTTATTTTAATTATTATATGCAGACCACGTTACTTCACCAAGTTACTAATATAATGGACTTAGGTGTTTTATTTGATGATAAATTAACTTTTATCAATCATCTCAATTATATTATTCCTAAATCATATTCACTTCTTGCATTTGTTAGAAGAAATAGTGTTGATTTCAATAACCAATTTACTCTCAAAGTATTATATTTTTCATTTGTTAGATCCGTTCTTGAGTATGCCTCTGTTATTTGGAGCCCATGTTATTGGGTCCATGTAAATCGCTTGGAAAGAGTTCAGAGAAAATTTACTAAATTTGCTCTTTCCCTAAACATGGTAAACTACAATCCTTCAATTTGCTATACTATTCGTTGTAATCTATTAGGTATAAAATCACTTGAGTCTAGAAGGTCATTCCAATCTATCATGTTTTTATTTGATTTATTAAACTACAACATAATATGTCCTGATTTATTGTCATATGTCAACATAAATGTTCCATCAAGATCATTGAGATTTCATGATTATTTTTATATTGGTTTACATAGAACTAATTACTCTTTAAATGAGCCATTAACTAGAGCACAGAATTTATTTAATAATTTAAATGAAAATAGTGTTTTAGACTTTTGTTATTCTAAAGAAAAGTTCAAGTTATTTTTAATAAATTTATTATAATTAATTTTAAGCGAATAGTCTGTAAGGATATTTTGTAAATCCTAAGACTGTTATAAAATAAATAAATAAATAAATAAATAAATAAAATAATGGATCTATGTTACATATTTTCAATAGGCTTCGTGTCTGGTACAATAGAAGATCATGTGCCAAATTTCATTGAATTATCTTCAAAATTGTAGTTTGATAACATGGACGGACGATCAGACGGACTGACAGGCGGACGGAGGGACATAGCTAAATCGACTCAGAATGATTCTAAGCCGATTGGTATACCTTAGGGTGGGTAAAGGACGAATATTATTGTGCGTTATAAACCTTTCATGGTGAAGGGTATAAAAAGGAAACAGTCAAGGATATCATTATCACTTTCTGCCGATGTCTGACCTAGAATATATGGACCTATGAACATCAGAGGCATTGATACTACCGTCCGACACTCAAAATTAGACACAAACCGAATGATAGACGTCTGAAATTACAAATTTAATGGAGAAAAACTGCGTTTTAGTTTTTCATTTCGTGATCCTGTGTCCTTTTTAAAGGACTTCAAAGTTTTAAAAAGAGCATTTTTCAAAAAAATGTTTTGAAATACTTCTACTGTCCAAACAAAGAAATTTAAATAATTCTGTCTTAATCTTTATCTATCAAATTTGACGAAAACGAACTAAGAGAACCTTAGAGTAATTTTAGAGTCTAAGCTCACGTGAAAACGTAATGCTGAGAGTCGAATGAAGAAGGCATTATGTGCCTTCTATATATGTAAGAAAACCTTTGGGAAAAGATGGGGTCTTAAACCATACATTGTGCACTGGATGTACACCGCGGTTATAAGACCTATTCTGATCTACGGAGCTCTTGTTTGGTGGAGAGCGGTGGATACCAAGACTTATCTCTCCATTCTAAACAAGGTACAAAGATTAGCTTGACTTGCAATCACCGGCTGTTTGAGCTCCACCCCTCAGGCTAGTCTGGAGACGATGCTAAACATAACTCCCCTTGATATATGTATTCATCAAATGCTTTTCTGCTAAATCTGCTCTGCGACTTAAACAGTCGAACGGATTGAAGCACGACCGCATTGGTCATGGCACCATCCTACAAAAGATAGGCAAGTCAATAATGGGGCAGGAAACAGACTACATTCTATCTACACTGCATTTTAATAGGTCATTCAAGAGCACAGTACCGACAAGGGATGATTGGGCCGCGAACACTGTCCTAAGGGACGACGTGATCTCAATCTATACTGATGGCTCAAAGATAGAAAGGGGCACGAGATCAGGAATCTTTTCCGAAAAACTAAGTCTTCTACTGTCTCTTCGACTACCTGACACCTGCACGGTCCTTCAGGCAGAGATATATGCCATCTATACAGCCGCGAGAAGAATACGGGAACTAAATCTCGAAAATTCGACTATACATAAATACTTGGACAGCCTTATTTCTCTTATTTCAAATGTTATTAAGTCTTCTCAATTGTATTCAATCATTGGCACAACTGACACAACATCATATTGAGTTGATATGGGTTCCATGACATGAGGGCATCCGGGGAAATGAAATATCTGATGAATGTGCAATCAAAGGGTCGTCCCTAGACTTAACCCTTGCGCAAAAGGATATTCACACTCCCCTAATGACCCTATCAAAATTGATAGATGAATGAGCTTTGAGTGAGACGGAACTCAGGTGGTCAAATATCCCCACTTGAAGAATATCGAGACTGCTCTGGCCCACTCTGACAACAAATAGGACTAGGACTCTCTTGTCTCTTAGTAAGAACGATATTGAGAAGTTCAATGGAAGATACAATATATATATATATATATATATATATATATATATATATATATATATATATATATATTGTGTTGTATACCCAACAACTTAAATTTTAATGACTACTACATACCATCTGCATTACATAGAAGGAGTGCAGTAGCGAGTTAAAAATAACCTGATATATAAGAACTTACTTTTAGCATTGACATTATGTTTTAGAATTTTATTTTTTGCTTAATCAGAAAACATTTTAATTTTTTAGTGAAAAATTATTAGTACACGCAGTAAACGTTTTCTTGAAGGCATTTGTTATTTAAAAAGCTACTTATTTAAAAACTTATTTGTAAGCGATTGTGATAAGTACTTACATAACTCCTTATTTGTAAGTGAGTGCGGCAAATACTTGCCTCCAAAGTTTTAACATTTTAACCCCTTACTTGGTAATAAAAGATTTTGTTAGATTGTTTTTTATAATACTTAAAGAATGCAGCTGGCTTTGTTAAGAGGTTTTTCCTTACTTCAGGTATAAATTAGCTTTAAAATGGTATAGGTAGTATTTCAATTAGAAAGCTTAAGTTAGGTTATACTTTAGACTAGCATACCCTAGGTGCTTCTCAACCCTAATCAAAATTAAATACATACAAAATTTTGTTTACTTTTATAGAAAATTAAAATTTTTTTAATGTTTCAGTTTTTTCCCCTTTTCGCTTAGAAATATACTTTTTTGGGAATTAAGTTTACAAAATGTTCCATATTTAAATCTATATATCACAGATTAAACTTAAACGATTCAAATCTACATTCATTTGTTCCAGAAAAATTGTGCTTTCAAAAAGGTACCAAACAATTTACTCGAATTTGGTCCCATATATAGGCCTTAGTACTCGAATACCCAAATGATATACCAATAGCTTATTTTGTGTGTGTAAATAAACTACTTTTTGAAATTTTATAAAAATTGGCTTAATGAGTTTGAATAAAATTAAATTTCACGTTTTTTCCCCCTTTTTGGTACTTTTTTCCCCAGTGATATAGCAAAAATTGTATTACAATAAATATTACAGAGTTAGTCCGTAATTTAATAGGAATACTTCAATAAATCGAAAAAGTTTTCTTAATGTGCTAAAAAAGTACCAAAGATACACTTTAACACTCAAAAAGGACTGAATTTAAAAAAAGTACGAAACAGGTGTCTCCTAATTTTGAGAGATATATTCAAAATATTTACAAAAATTTTATTTTGTTTATTAGTTAAAAAGTTATAAAGGTCCAAAAAAGGTACCATAATCACCTTTGTTACACATTTTCACCCCTTAAAAATACGAATTTCAAAAAAGTACCAGATACCCATCTGCTTATTTTAAGAGTAGAGTAATATTAGGTAAGATAATTAAGAAACCCAGTTTTACCCGTTTTTCCCTTTTTTAATCCTTAAATGTACAAATTTCAAAAAATCCCTCCTTAGTGGATCTACGTAACCCAAAAAACATCTACTGTCAAAATTTCATGATTCTAGGTTCAGCCGTTTGGGCTGTTCGATGATGAATCAGTCAGTCAGTAATGCTACTCTTTTATATATATAGAATATTGAGTTAATATACTTTATTGCTAAGTATATAGCTGGCATTCAAACCTACATAAATCAATGTTGTCATTTAAGCAATAAGTTAAAAGAAATGAATAGCAAGTTTTAAAGTTAGGTCATGAAACGACCCATTATCATAGATCATAGACCGGTCATCTTCAATCTCAAATAAATATTACTCACAAAATACTCTTTTAAAACTAACAACAATTTTAAAATTGATACAACAAATGTTTTTATTACATTAGATTTAAAACCATCAACAAAAAAATTCTTTAATTTTCCTAAGCCTTTAATTTAGAATATGCAAATGAATATGTGTCATATCAACTGATTGACGCAAGGTCTTTTGGTGGCAGGCAATAAGTATGTTGATTCCCATGAGCTGTTATTTTTATACATACATATTTCCTTTTTGCGAGTTGTTTATTTTGAAAAAAGTCTATTTGTGTTCATCAGCAACATCATCATGATGGCATAATATTTTAAATTAACAACATGCAGACGTAGTATGATATGTACCTGTTTAGATGTAATCACAAGACAGTGGGTTAAGAAAAGAAAAAAAGTTAGAAATTAAGTTTACAAGAGAACTTATTATGTTCAGGGTAACACATTTGATTAATAGTGAAAACTTTCCCACTTTAATAGAAACTCCAAAATGGAATCGGTTGATGGGATTGAGTAAGTCATATGTATAAAATGTTTAATTCTTATAAATTAAAATAACTTAAGAATTTAACATTTATTTCCAGTTTATTTTGTATAAAATTTTTCTTTATGCACCCACTGTATTTTATTAAATATTTCTTAAAATTTTATTTCCTATACCTCATAATATGGCAAAAGGTCATTAGATAAAACGCAAAAAAGAAATCAGTAAATAACAACAAAATGTTTAATTGACATTTAGTATAAATAATTCAAGTGAAACCTTATCCAGCATCAGTAATTTCCGTTAATTATAACAGTTTACATCTTATTGAACTTTACAATGAAACTACTTGGAATTTTCTTCGCCTGCTTGTTGGTTAATGAAATCTATGGATTTTCCGATCGTATGTGTGGTGCAAAATTAACACAAATTATGTGGATTGTATGTGAAAATGGCTTCAATAGCATGATAGCCAAAAGATCGGGTAAGTATTATATAAAGTATATAAAAACAAAAAGAAATAATAATTTTGTTGCCCTCTATAGATCATGCTAACTCTATTATACCAGGCATTGAGAGTGATGTTCCTTATCCCTTAGCTTCTTCATCACTTTCGAATATTTTCCAAGTAGAACAAGGAAATTTACTAGCGAAAACACGTCGTATTCGTATGCTGGGTATTGCAGATGAATGTTGCAAAAAGGCCTGTAAATACAGTGAATTGGCAGCATATTGTATAAACTAAAAGAGGAATGAAGCTGCAGATTATTTTTTACAAAAATCTAATATTAAAAAAAGCACACGTACTTATTTGTATTAATATGCAATTAAAATGTATTTATTTATTAAAAAATGTGTGTCCAAATATATAAAAATGGGTGTAACATAAAAAATTTGTTCTGTATTATAGACGAGAAAGTTTTAAAAATAATTGTAGATTAATAAGAATTGTACACACCTATCCCTTGATTTACACAATAGATAAGGAACTTTTAACATAAACTGTTTATGAAAGTACTTAATTTGTTCTAAAGTTAAGAGCAAATTTCTAAACGTTTGTCCTTCACTATGTAGTTAAATAAGGCTGATATTTATAGAAGTGGGCTCAAAAGTAACCTTTTCAATGATATCCTGTATTACATATCGCTCATTTACTACAAGACTGATATAATCCAAAAACCCCGAATTTTGGATTATGACAGTCTTGTAGTAAATGAGAGATATCTCAGCAAAAGCATGGTAATAATGACTTGTACTTACTTAACAACTCATTTTTCAATGACTACTAACTACATACTGTCTGTATTACTTAGAAGGAATCTAGTAATGACTTGATAATAATGTGTTATGTAAGTACTTACTTTTTAGTACGAAAAAATCTTTTTGTGTGAAAACTAATAAAAATAACAGCGGACGTATCCTCGTAGGAAAATTTTTTCTCAGAAACAAAACTTCTTACTTAACTCCTTATTTGTAAGCCAGCGTGGTAAATACTTGCCTCTAATGTCATACATGTGTTAAAATAATGACTTAAATGCTCCCTTACTTTTCATTGCAAGTTTTTGCCGGGATATTGTTTTGGGGGAAATTACATAAAGCTGAACTTTTTTTTAAATGGTCCATCTCAAGATCGATCAATTTGCCAAAAATGTTGTGATTTCTTTGAGTGCCACTAATATTTATATAAATACGCTAGAAAATTATAATTGCCTAAAAGTATGCTACAGTTTAGTTATAAAAAATTGCTAATCAGAACATCAAAACCAAATTCTAGGAATATTCTAGAAAAAATTTACTTTATCTGAAATTTTCAAAATATTTTAGTCAAAATTTTCTCCCGTATCCTTTAGGATTCACTCAGACCATTCTCACAAAACATTGTAAATGTTTCTTGTTTCTCATTCTTGGTACTATTTGAAGGAAAACAAGTAAGAGTGTTATATTTGGTTGTGCCGAATCTTATATACTTTACATATTTATGAGATATTCATACGTTAAATTTTGTTTTCGTGTATGGGTATGGTATGGTATGGTGATTTTACGGCCTTTGAGGGCGATTTAGATTATGAACAGATCTCTAAAGAATTTAAAGTGGATATTAATGTTAAAAAAAGAGGTGTTACATAGGAGATATGGTTAATTATGAACTGATCCGCATGCAATATTGAAGAGTATTTTTGAAACCTATAAAACTTGATTATGACAAATTAGAGCCTTAGTATTTTTTTAAGTGGGCCAATATGGACCGATTCATATGAAATTTGCCAGAGAGATTTGAATTCCTATGAACGGATTTCGGACGGATTCTGCTACTATACTGGTATTTTCAAGGTACTTATGAGCGTTTAAATAACTTTCTAAATATAACATGGGTGTTAGAGTCAGTTATGGAGCGATGCTTTTTAAATTAAGAAGCGGGATTTAAATTCATCAATACAATTTTTCCGTGTCAAATTTCATGGCAATACAGGTATTTTTTTGGAATCAACTATAGATCGATTATTATAAAATTTAGAAGGTAGATTTTAGTTTCCATAAAACTTGTTCATATCGAGTTTTATGGCCTATATTGGTATTCTTAAGCTAGCTATGACCGATAAAGTAATTTTTTGAAGGGGGCTTTATATGTAGGGTAGGTTCAATTATGGACTGATCCTCATAAAATGTTGTAGAGCGACTTTGGTTTATACAAAACTTGTTGATGTCGAATTTTATCGCTGTACTCGTTTTTTAAGCCATAATGAGAGTTAACGTCAATTTCTGAAAGGGACGTTATATGGGGGGTATGATCAAATATGTTCCGATCCTCATCAAATTAAGTAGAAAGATTTATGTTCATATAAAACTTGCTTCAGTCGAATTTCATTGCTATACTGTACTTTTAGGCCAGTTGTGATCGTTAAAGTCATTTTTTGAAGGGGGCTTCTTTGGGGGGTAGGGTCAGTTATAGGGGTATGTCAGCCATCCTTTACAGAATATTTTCGTGGAACTTAAAACTAACTTGTTGAAAATTTCATTACATTTACTGACAAATTAACATTTTTATGACAATTTAAACAATATTCCGGGGGGTCACTTGTATGGGAGCTATGTGATGGCGTAGACCGATATTGCCCATTTTCAATGCCAATCATTTCTGATGAATGTAGAATATTTTGGGAAAATTTCATCTATCTAGACAGACAGACAGACGGACATGTCTAGATCGTCTTATAATTTTACAAGGACCCAAAATATATGTACTTTATGGGGTCTGTGAGCGATATTTCTATGTGTTACAGTAGAATAGCTGATAATTTTTATATTTATCTTTGTGAGCCCGATATACCTTCACCATATAAATTGGTCATAACATCGCTCCCTAGTTTTATGGTGTTTACATTAAAATAGAAATAAACACCGTTTTAGAAATATTTCGAGCAGGAAAACGATGACCGTTTTAATGAAACGGTGTGGAGTTTCCGGTTTATATCAATCTCATGACACCCGGATTAATAAAATCTAAAAAGTACTATCTTGCCTTTCTAAAATGTCAGATTTCGCCTAATAGGATACAAGTTCGTTTAGAGAGATCTAAATTATGTTAACTCCACCACTGGCAAGTCGCTATTAACTAAAATCAATACCTAGTCTAATTGATGTGCTACGAATCTTGTCCTATGTACAATATTTGAAACATACCTCTCGAGGATACTTTACACATTTTAATTTTATTTTAATTAAAGTTAACATATGAAAAAATCGGATTTTACTAGTACCTGTGAATTTTTAACTTTTATTGGTTTATTTTTAAAACTGTTGCACGTGTCGTCACATTAAGGCACAAGTAGAGACAGTAAGATTTTCTAGGTAGACACCTGTACTAAATTTAGACAAAGTTAAAATATTTACATATTTGCCTTTATAAACCTTTATGTAAATTATTGCTGTAAATGTCTATCATTTGACGTAAATGTATTAAGTCTGTTACTTTTATGAACCTACATATATACAAAGAAAATTACTTCCGAAGGTTAAATCTTAATACACATCAACGTCCTTAAAAGAACAAAATATTACAATTAACATAACGCTAACAAACACGTGTTCATTCAAACAGTGACATGAAAACATAAATTCTGATCAAATATACAATACATTGACAATTTTCGTACAGTTTCTATGTAAAAAATTATTTTCTTTTGCAGTTTTCTCGCTTTGTATTTTATAACCACTGTAGCTTAATAGCTAAAATTAAATATTCATATTGCAAATTTTTTATTAAGAAACTCGACAAGAACAATTTTTAAAAATCTTGAAAAACAATTTGGTATAAATAATTGCTGAAAATCTTTGTTCTATATCAGTAATATCCAATATTTACAGCTATTTAGAACTCAAAGTTCCTTTAGTGTTTTCCAAATAATATTTTTTTGCACAATGAAATTTCTAGGATTTCTCTTAATATGTTTAGCTGTAAATCACATTCAAGGATTTGCTGATCGCAGATGTGGCGCACAGTTGACACAGATTATGTGGGCTATTTGCGAGAATGGATTTAATACAATGCCAATGTCTAAGAGAAGTGGTAAGTTAGTATGGAACTCAAATCAAATAAATTAATATATATTAAATTTTTTTTTCTTAGTTCAATCTCATCAGCTTCTCTCGGATATCGAAGATAATTTACCTTATCCTTATGCTGCAAATTCACTTTCGAATATTTTCCAATTGGAGAAGGAAAATTTGATAGGAAAAAATCGTCGTACTAGAATGTTGGGTATTGTGGATGAATGTTGCAAGAAATCTTGCAGTTATAATGAATTGGCCGCATATTGTTTGCCTTAAATTGAATTAAAAAAAAAACATCGGAATCGTAATATACAAAATGATCTTAATTTGAATTAAATTGTAAATAATTTTAAACAGAGTATAGCAACACAATTGTAAAGTATTTTAAGTAGATAAATTATATACATATATTAAATTTCTAAGTCATCGAGTGCACTGGCAAAATAAAAAAAAATATTAAAAATTTTCAATTATTTATAGAAATTAGTGTTCAATAAAGATTAACTTCCACCTCTTGGATATTTATTTGCTTGACCCATAGAAATAATTAGATTTAGAACAATCTAAAGATCTAACTTGACAAACTAGAACTGAATGCTGAACTAGAACTGAACTTATATTGAACTTAGAACTGCACTAGAACTGAACTAGAACTGAGAACTGAACTAGAACTGAACGAACTAGAACTGAAACTAGAACTGAACTAAGACTGAACTAAGAACTGAACTAGAAATGAACTAGAACTGAACTAGAACTGAACTAGAACTGAACTAGAACTGAACTAGAACTGAACTAGAACTGAACTAGAACTGAACTAGAACTGAACTAGAACTGAACTAGAACTGAACTAGAACTGAACTAGAACTGAACTAGAACTGAACTAGAACTGAACTAGAACTGAACTAGATCTGAACTAGAACTGAACTAGAACTGAACTAGAACTGAACTAGAACTGAACTAGAACTGAACTAGAACTGAACTAGAACTGAACTAGAACTGAACTAGAACTGAACTAGAACTGAACTAGAACTGAACTAGAACTGAACTAGAACTGAACTAGAACTGAACTAGAACTGAACTAGAACTGAACTAGAACTGAACTAGAACTGAACTAGAACTGAACTAGAACTGAACTAGAACTGAACTAGAACTGAACTAGAACTGAACTAGAACTGAACTAGAACTGAACTAGAACTGAACTAGAACTGAACTAGAACTGAACTAGAACTGAACTAGAACTGAACTAGAACTGAACTAGAACTGAACTAGAACTGAACTAGAACTGAACTAGAACTGAACTAGAGACTGAACTAGAACTGAACTAGAACTGAACTAGAACTGAACTAGAACTGAACTAGAACTGACTAGAACTGAACTAGAACTGAACCTAGAACTGAACTAGAACTGAACTAGAACTGAACTAGAACTGAACTAGAACTGAACTAGAAAACTGAACTAGAACTGAACTAGAACTGAACTAGAACTGAACTAGAACTGAACTAGAACTGAACTAGAACTGAACTAGAACTGAACTAGAACTGAACCAGAACTGAACTAGAACTGAACTAGAACTGAACTAGAACTGAACTAGAACTGAACTAGAACTGAACTAGAACTGAACTAGAACTGAACTAGAACGGAACCTAGAACGGAACTAGAACTGACTAGACTGAACTAGAACTGAACTAGAACTGAACTAGAACTGAACTAGAACTGAACTAGAACTGAACTAGAACTGAACCAGAACTGAACTAGAACTGAACTAGAACTTAACTAGAACTGAACTAGAACTGAACTAGAACTGAACTAGAACTGAAAACTAGAACTGAACTAGAACTGAACTAGAACTGAACTAGAACTGAACTAGAACTAAACTAGAACTGAACTAGAACTGAACTAGAACTGAACTAGAACTGAACTAGAACTGAACTAGAACTGAACTAGAACTGAACTGAACTAGAACTGAACTAGAACTGAACTATACCATAAAAATAACCCAAAAATCCAAATACATTGACAAACGTAGAAGGAAAACTTTACTTTATATTTTTCAGTCGGAAGTAAAGCTTTCTGTCTTTTACTTTTATACTCATTATGACTTGAGGTTTTTCTCCAAATAATTGAATTAATTTCTTATACACAGTTTCTTAGTTCCTTTTTTACGAACTTAACAAATAATTATTCGTTTGGATACACGTACATACCTTTATACATATGTTTTTATGTTTAACAACATTAATGTTTTAGGCAAATTCTAATTAAATCAAAATTTAAGAATTTACTTGTAATTCTTCTTAAAACTTATTGTGTATGACATATTAGGCAGGCTGTATGTGAGTTGTGTGTAAAAGGATGCCTTAAAATTAAATTCTAAACAATAGTTTAAGGACTTTAAAAAAAATGTTATGTGAATCCTGTTGTGAGAAAGTTATTTCAACAAAATTTCTATGTAATTGAGTATTTACTAATCTTCTAGTTATACATACATAAAGTTAAAATTATATAATTACATTGTCTTTTTTAATAATTTTCAGTGCGTTATGTTATTGGATCTGAATTCTAATGATATCTTTGAATCTTAATATTACTTGAAACAATAGGTTAATATATATACATTTTACGTAGTATTTCCGACCTCCTCTCTGAATTTGATACAATTGTAAATATTTTTACACACACACACACTCTGTATACATATTTTATTACTGTAAATCTTTGAAAATTGTTCTTGTTTCAAAAATATAATACATATACAGTGAAAAAAGATTTATATTACAGTTCGTTCACTTTAAAAGATAATTAAATTAAGGATTACGAAAATGTATACTTGTCGACATATACTACTATATACACATGTTGAAATACTTATACACATACAAATGTACATACATATGTATATACTTATGTATGTTAAAGAATGTATACATAAGTTTAATTTGTTTCAACATTCCTTTCATTTTCTACCTTAATAAATTAGATTTTATGTTATATTTTTTTTCAACCTAATATTAATTTAATGTCTCCTTGAATTAATATACAAATTGTTGTAAAAAGTTTTAAATTTATAAGATTTGACTATATTATGTTAATATATTTTAGGAACTCCTACAGCAGATGTATCTTTTTCAACATTAGAAAAAAAAAAAATAATCAAATTAACTGAAATTTTGAACATTACCTAAAAGATTTTATTTTTTGTTTAATGCAATTAAGGTAGAAAAAAGAGTTAGAAATACTAAAAGAGATTTATAACACAAACATACATATTTATGTATGAACATAATATGTATGTCTTGTGCTTTGAGTAATTTTTTGAAAAAGATTCCCTATAGAGGCTTAGACTGATTACAGACCAAAATCGAACCATCAGATCTTGTAAAAAGCAAGCATTCTTGCACTTTATTATTTAAAATTTCTCTTTTATTTTAGAAAATTTTCGAAAAATTATTTTTATTTACAGAAAATTAATATTTTCTATAGAAATTTAAAAAATTTTCCCTTTTTAGAAAAAATTTTCACAAAATTTATATTTTTATAGACGATTTTCGAAAAATTTATATTTTTTTAGAAACTTTTTTGAACATTTCTCATTTTATTGAAACTTTTGCAAAATTTCTCATTTTGAGAAAATATCCATTCCGTCCCATTCTAAAATTCAAAATTTTCTATTTTTATAAAAAATTTCGTAACTTCCCAGCAAAAATTTTCATTACCTAGTAATCTAGAAAGTAATATTGGAATCTCGTGGAAACTAATTACTTTTGGGGTGAATAACTAATTATTTTTGTTCGACGAGGTTCAAATAATATGTACCTACCTTAAACAAATTAATAAATGGTTACTAATTTGATTACAAAAACTTTGCGAAATAACTAGTTACAAATAAACCTACAAATATGTTATGTGATAGCTAGTTATTTTGGGCCGACTTTGTATGTAGAAAACAAAAAATAAAAAAATTCTCGGCCGGGATTTGAACCCAGGCATTCAGTTGTTTTCTGTGTTTCTCACTCCAGCCGCTTACTCGATGCTCCAGCAGTAATTACTGCTTTCAGTGTTGCCAACTTAGTGCTTTTAGCACTATTTGCGGTGCCTTTTGGTGTGCCAAACGCGGAAAATTTTGCTCATGGTGCCTTTTTTCAAAAAGGCACTACAGTGGTGCTTTCTAATTTTAATTTTTATACCCACCATCAAAAAAGATGAGTTGATTTTGTCACTCCGTTTGTAACACATCGAAATATTGGTCGTAGACCCACAAAAGTATATATATTTTGGGTCCTTATTAAATTCTAAGCCGATCTAACCATGTCCATCCGTCTGTTCATCTGTCCGTCCGTCTGTCTGTTGAAAGCACGATAGGGTTAGATCGGAAAGAGCAAGCGAGTTAAATTTTTCCACAAATATTTCTTATAGGTAAGGTTTGTTTGGTATGGCAAATGGGCAATATGGGTCCGCAATTTCGCATATCCCCCATACAAGTGACCCCCCGAAAAACAGCTTTAACAGTCACAACTGTTTTAAACATACGAGTATAGCGATAAAATTTGGCATAAATAAGTTTTATATGCGTCAAAATCTCTGTACCAAATTTTATGGGAATCGGTCCAAAATTGACCCTACCCCCCATACGAGTATAGCGATGAAATTCAACATAAGTAAGTTTTATATAAGCCAAAATCTCTACTAAATTTTATAGAAATAGGTCTATAATTGAGCCTACCCCCCATATAAGGTCTCCTTCAGAAAATGATTTAAACGGTCATTACTGACTTAAAAATACGAGTATAGCGATGAAATTCGGCATAAATAAGTTTTATATAAGGCAAAATGTCTCTACCAAATTTTATGGGAATTGGTCCATAACTGACCTTACCCCCAAATAAGGTCTCCCTATGAGTGCAGCGTTGAAATTCAACATAAGTAACTTTTATATGCATCAAAATTTCTCTACCAAATGACATTAATACTCATTACCGACTTAAAAATATTCGACATAAATATGTTTTATACAAACCAAAATCTCTCTAGCAAATTTTACGGCAATCGGTCCATAATTGACCCTACCCCCACATATGATCACCTTCAAAAATTGATTTTAACGCTCTTTACTGACTTAAAAATACGAGTATAGCGGAGAAATTCGAAATAAACAACTTTTATACAAACGTAATCTTCCTACCGAATTTAATTCGGATTTTTCGGTAGCCTACCCTACCCCCTATTAAGGTCCCCTTAAAAATATGAGTACAGCGATGAAAATTGACAAAAAATAAGTTTTATACAATTTTTTTACACAATTGAACCTATCCCTAATATATAAAGCCTCCATGATTACTTCATCGTTGTACTCGCAATAAAAAGATTTTTATTATAATTCTTTATTCCGAATTTTATGACGATATAACTGACCAACAAAACAAAATCTATGTACAAAATATTATGGGTATCGATATATAATTGTCCCAACCCCATATAAGTTCCCCTTTAGATAATAACTTTTACGCTTATGTCTGAATTAAAAATTCGAGATCAGCAATGAAATTCGAAACGAATAAGTGTTATACGAAGTCTTTCTACCAAATTTTATGACAAACAGTTCATAATTGACACTACCTCTGATATATATATATTTTGTTTTTAAAAATTAATATTTTGTTAATTCGAAGATCACGTACATAATTGAATTAAGCATTATCTCCCTGATGTTTACAGAGAAGCATTCCTTCGACACAGCCGAATATAACACTCTTGTTAAAATATTTTAAAATAATTGTGAATTTCAGGAGGTAATTTATTTAATTAATATTAAACATTTTCTCTATAATGTTAAGAAAACTGAGGGATCATTCTTTGATCTTTCTATTTGTACCACTTTTTGTTGTTTATTAGAATACGATCAGTTTAATAGTTTACACTAAGGACTAAATTTTTCTTAAAAACTGTTTTATATTTTTTTACACGGGTGCTCTAAAGTTTTTTTTATTTGTGTTAAGTTTTAAAAGCAAATATTCTTCAAAAACAAAAAACAAAATATTCAAAATACGTTAAAATAAGTTATGTTATTCACTATCAGTGAAATTAAAAATTTTTCCAGAACTCAAAAAACTTAAAAATAATATATATAGATTTTGCAAAAAAAATATATTTCATAAGTTTTGTACAATTTTACAATTTGGGTGTGGTTACATCGGTTCGCCAGTTGTTAGTGTGCCTGTCAGTTTGAATGTTTAATGACATTTTACTATTTTTAAAAAACTTTTAAACAAATCAAGGAATTTGAAAATTTCTCATCTTATTTATCTAATATTCGTCAAACATTAGTTTTAGTTCTTACGTTACTAAAAATCTAACTCACACAGATGAAAGACTTTAGTATGACGCATGTTTTGTTTTGTAGTCAATGTTCTAAAAAACGAATTTTGGAGTCTTGTAGGAAATGAGCGAAATAATGTGCAATTTTTATTAAAATAAACAATATTTGACTAAAAAACGTTAGTGCTTTTTTACCCATTTTCAGTTAGAAAATTACGCTTTTTTACCCCTTTTTAATTTTTTTGCGCGCGTTTTGCTTGACCAATGTTGGCAACACTGACTGCTTTTATAGAAAATTTCTCTTTTTATGGAAAATTTTTGAAAAATTTCTCTTTTTATAGAAAATTTCTCTTTCTAAAGAAAATTTGTGTAAAATTTCTCTTTCTAAAGAAATTTTTTGTAAAATTTGCCTTTTTATAGAAAATTTTTGGAAAATTTCTCTTTTTATAGAAAATTTTTGGAAAATTTGCCTTTTTATAGAAAATTTTTGGAGAATTTCTCTTTTTATAGAACATTTTTGGAAAATTTCTCTTTTTATAGAACATTTTTGGAAAATTTCTCTTTTTATAGCAAATTTTTGGAAAATTTCCCTTTTTATAGAAAATTTCTCTTTTTATAGAAAATTTTTTGGAAGATTTTTCTTTTTATAGAAAATTTTTGGAAAATTTCTCTTTTTATAGAAAATTTTTGGAAAATTTCTCTTTTTATAGAACATTTTTGGAGAATTTCTCTTTTTATAGAACATTTTTGGAAAATTTCTCTTTTTATAGCAAATTTTTGGAAAATTTCCCTTTTTATAGAAAATTTCTCTTCTTAAAGAAAATTTTTGGAAAATTTCTCTTTTTATGGAAAATTTTTCAAAAATTTCTTTTCTTATAGAAAATGTCTTTTTCTAAAGAAATTTTCCCTTTTTTAGAAAATTTCCCTTTTTATAGAACATTTTTGGAAAATTTCTCTTTTTATAGAAAATTTTTGGAAAATTTCTTTTTTTATGGAAAATTTTTGTAAAATTTCTCTTTTTATGGAAAATTTCTCTTTTTATAGAAAATTTCTCTTTTTATGGAAAATTTTTGAAAAATTTCTCTTTTTATAGAAAATATCTCTTTCTAAAGAAAACTTTTGGAAAATTTCTCTTTTTATAGAAAATTTCCCTTTTTATAGAACATTTTTGGAGAATTTCTCTTTTTAAAGAAATTTTTCGGAAAAAAATTTTTGGAAAATTCTCTTTTCATAAAAAAATTTTGGAAAATTTCTATTTTTATAGAAAATCTTCGGAAAATGTCTCATTTATGGAAACGTTTTTCAAATGTGTCTTTCTTATGGAAAGTTTTTAAAAATTTCTTTAAAATAGAAAGTGTTCAAACATTTTTTAAATAGAAACTTTTCTGAAGAAAGATATACTTTCTATAACAATGAGAAATTGTATAAGAAAAATAAATTTACATTTTCTTTTTATAAAAAATTTTGGAAATTTTCACTTTTTAAAAGAAAATGTTCCATTTTTATGAAAGGTTTCTCTTTATGAAGAAAATTTCTTTATTTTAAACAAATTTTTAAATGATTTTCGTTTAAAGAAAGATTTTGAAAGTTTCTCTCTTTTATATAAAATGTTCTTTCTTTATAGGAGATTTTCGTAAACATGTCAAAATTCTTTTCGAATCTTGTCCCAAATAAAATTGAAAACATATTTAATATTTTCTGAAACACTTTCCAATTAAACTTAAAAACGTTGTAGTTTTAAACTCTCGGCTTTATTCACATTACCATGAGAAAGGAAGAAAGTAAAAATGTCTTGTTTAATATGGACATATATGCCAATGGCATAAAACTTAACCTACTCAACATATGGTGCATAGAAGGATCTATAAAACTATAAAACAACCCATAAATTAAATTAGTATAAACCACGTTCCAACACTCTTATGCCAAAGAACATTAATAAAGACCAAAAATTTCTACATATTTTTAATTAATTAATGATTATGATTATTTTCTTGTACATCTATTGTGAACTTTTAAGAAACTGAGAAAAATTAGAAGAAGGCTTGAGATTTAACTGGAAATTTTCGACTAAAAATATTTCAATTCATGAGCATTTATGAGGACATCCTAATGTTAAAAAATATCCAAGAAAATGTATAAATAACTATATCAAAACTTACATATACATATGAATATTGATACAAAACTTCATGTGTTATTTATTTATGTAGGTGAGCTTATAAATATGCAATAATTCATTATTAGTTATGACGCAAATGCTAATTAAAAATCGCATATATAACCTCTAAGTTTTTCTTTAAAAAATAATTTATAATTTTAGTATAAATAATAAATCTAGTCATTAAGAAAGTATCATTAAACTTGAGGAACTCTCAGCTAAAGCAACGGATTCTAAGAATAAAGTTATTTATACGAAAAATTTTGTGTTAAATAAAAACTTTAATATGTTTTCCACTAAATATCTTATATCGGGTCTTCTTATGGTTTTGGTCATCAGCGATTTTACACGAGCTGATTTTCGTTTATGTGGACAATCGTTAACACAATTTTTGGAAATGATTTGTATAGATGGTTTTAATCCGAAAAATCTTTCGAAAAAATCAGGTATTATATCAATTTTACTCTTTCTATTATAATATACAAAAATTTCTTCTCATTTATTAGTCCCTCTAGCTGATTACAATGATAATAGTCTTGAAAATGATGCTCTTTCATCTCATCCATTTTCTTCATTATTTATGGATAAATTATATCATGGTAATTTAATGGCAAAAACTCGTCGCCGTCGTCATGACGGTGTAGCTGAGGAATGCTGTCGCAAATCTTGCACTATGTCTGAATTAACAACATATTGTCTATAATTGCAGAATAACTAAAAATATTTATATAACAATTTTTAAATATATAATTGCTTTTAAACTAACATCAATATTAATATATAACCATAACTATAAATTTTGAAATTTCCCTTTTCAGATAGAATTTAAATTACTTAAACTTTAAATAAAAATATTAATTATATACTACTACTTTGTCTAAAATATGCACAAATAACTCTTTTGGAAAATTTTAGTAAATTTTTCTCTATTGAAAATTTTTCAAAATCTTCATTATACAGAAGATTTTTAGAAATGTTCATCATATTGAAAATTTCTCGTTTTTAAGAAAATTTTCGGAAAATTTCTGTTTCTAGAGAAAGTTTTCGGAAAATTTTTGTTTCTAGAGAAAGTTTTCGGAAAATTTTTGTTTCTAGAGAAAATTTTCGGAAAATTTCTGTTTCTATAGAAAATTTTCGGAAAATTTCTGTTTCTAGAGAAAATTTTCGGAAAATTTCTGTTTCTGTAGCAAATTTTCAGAAAATTTCTGTTTCTATAGAAAGTTTTCGAAAAATTTCTCTTTTTATAGAAAATTTCTCTTTTTATAGAAAATTTAGGGAAAATTTCTCTTTTTATAGAAAATTTAGGGAAAATTTCTCTTTTTATAGAAAATTTTCGAATAATGTCTCTTTTTATAGAAAGTTTTCTGAATATTTCTCTTTTTATAGAAAATTTTCGGAAAATTTCTCTTTTAATAGAAAATTTTCGCTTTTATAGAAAATTTCGCAGATTTTCTCTTTTATAGAAATAATCATAACGAAACAATCTGGAGTATTTAGTGGATTTGGAATAAAATCGAGCAAAATGATAAAAAAAATAAAATCAATATTTTGTTATTTAATAATAATTTTGTTAATAACTCAAACACTTACCTATCCGGGCCTGTGTATTTTCCATTATTAATGTAAGTAGTAAAAATCCCAAGCGCAGGAAATTTGAACAACTCGTATAACACTTAAGTAAAGCCATATTGATTTAGGTTTAGAAAACGTAAGGAAAACACTTTGGTTTAACAAAAAAAATTGTCTTCTGTCAACAGAAATGGCAAATTACGAAATTAAACTTAAATGGCAATTGCGTTGAACACTTTAATAGAATTGTTTGTTGCATAACAAATACATATAAACAATGTTTATGTTGTTTATGTGGTTAAGTATGTTGCACGTATGTTTTACCTTTAAGTTTTAAATCAACGTTTAAAATGCTTAGCTTTCTGTTGTTGTTGATTTGGTTTATTTTATTTTCTTTTTTTCTTCTTCTTCAGCTAACTTTTTATCGTTTGAATTTTACGTGTTGTGCATTTGTATTATTTTGACGTTATTTTTCAACATTTAAACGGTTTTAATATATCACACAACTACCACTATCAGCAACATTAGATGCAGACATACATACGTACTTATGTCCTTATTAGTATGGGTGTGTAGTTGCATATGTTTGGGAGTTGGGTATTGTTTTTGATTTCTTTTCGTTTTTCTTTCTTTTTTTCCTTGTTATTTATTTAACATATACTATCACAACTTTTTTAACACCAGGGAAGAAACAAGCATTATATCTTTATACTTTTTTTTTTCGTTATATCTACACAAGTTTATCACAAACACACGCGAATATTTCTTTCGATTTTTATTTCTATTTTCCTAACAGGATTTTTTTTTCTGTTGTAAAACTTTCCATTTATTTTTCTTTTTTGTTATATACACATATACGTATTTATTTATTTTTTCTCTTTGTATTGCTGTTATTTACTTAAAAATTTTTCTTATTTTTTGGAGATTTTTTGTACTATGACGACTGGTCGGTATGAAGAATATACAGGTAGTTTGTTGGTAGTTGCAGTAACTGTGTGTATGTTGTGTCGTTGTATGTATTGTGTATCTGTGATTTCGTTGATTTAAGGTGTTGTAGCTGTAGTAGTAGTATTTGATATATAAACGACATTAAAATAAATTTCTTATTTGTATTTTATGTCGCCAGAAGTAACAGCACTCACCGTTGTCGTTGTTGTTGTTATTGCTATTACTGGATAAGTCCTTACAAAAAGCTCACTTTAGGGCTTATTCCCGTATTATATACAATAGAGTAAAAGAAGACGTTTTGAGTCGCTTATAGTTGGTGGTAGTAAGACAAAGTCTCAAACGAAAAAACTAAAATTCAACGTTAACTTATTGCCAAATGTGTTTTATGTTTTAGTATATTTATTTATTTTATTTTCGGGGCAAAATCTTTCTTTCTTTTTTTTTGTTATTGGGATCTTTTAAGGTATTACTTATTTTATATGTGTATATTCTTCTTCAACATTTTCTTCGTGCCAAGAAATAAACAATACACCCTATAGAAAATAAATAATTTTTAACCAAATGTCGTTAGCTTTCACATGTGTTATTGTATTGCTAACTTTATCTTGGTTTTCATATTTTTATAGTTTCTTTGCTATATAATTTTGGCTATTTATTTTGTATTTTTTTCTGTATTTACTTTAGTGTTATAGCTTTAGGTAGTTTTCTTTTTCTTTGTAAATATTTTTGCCAACATTTAACACTTTTTCTCACTTGTTTATTGTTTGCTGTAGTTTTTCCATTACTTATGTTTGAGTTAATTTTAAATTAATGCCACTAGTTGTAATTGTATTTTATTTTACATTTTAAGGAAATTCAAAGTATTTGTAGCGATTTCTGAAAAAAAAGGAAATTAATTAAAAATTAATATGAATGTAAATTGTTTTTAAAAAAAGACTTTATAAAACTATTAATATTTATGTATCAACCAAATAATATGAGTTACATATATACATATGTGTTATCTAAATAATTATTATTGTAAAATATTTATTTTCGTGCAGAATTTTCAATAATTTAAAATTTTCAAGAAATGTTCTTGTTTAAAGAAAAATCTGCTTTAACTGTCTATTGAGAAATTTATAAAAAACTTTTGTAATCATAAATTCCTAAAAACACACACACACAATATTTGTCTCTATGGAAAAAGAGATATTTCTATTAGTGTAAGTACTCGGTGCAGGTTTTGTAGGTTTTAAAATATTTCGTATCTAAAAATTCTAATGGTTGACATCAAACCACAAATATAAAAAAAACTGACGGTCGACTTTTTACACACAAACAAATGTAAAAGCACAGGGATGGAAAACTAATTGACATAGCAAAACATCCAAGACGTAAAAAGAATCGTATACAGAAAAGTTTTGCTATGTATTCCATATACTAGTCAATAGATAAGTCTATAAACTATTGAATTGAAAAGCCTGTAATCGAGTTAATAAACTATTTACTATTCTAGATAGAATCATTGAAGAGTTAACAGATTAGTCAATAGACTAGTGTGTTGTCAGAAGTCCTGCTCATAGCCTAGAAATTAGGAAGGTTAATAGATTCAGTTAAATATAGCATAGTCAACGGACCATTCCATAGAATAGTCAATAGACTAAACAATAACCTACTCTACACAGAGGGAAAATACCGATGGAAAAGTACCGAAATTGATACAATCCGTTGTCAGAAAAGGGTTTACCACGTTTGTTATCATTTAGACAACGGATGTGTATAATATTTAAATAACACTTAGTTATCATTCTGACAACCAACGTTGTAATTTTTACAACGCATTGTTCATTTTGACAAAAAGCGTTGCAATTTTGACAACGCATTGTTGACAGAAATCGTGCTCATGGACTAGAAATTAGGAAGGTACACAGTTTATACATTCAGCTAAATATAGCGTAGACAACGGACCATTCCATAGAATGGTCAATGGACTAAACAATAACCTACTCTATACAGAGGGAAACTGCCGGTGGAAAAGTACCGAAATTAATATAATCCGTTGTCAGAAAAGAGCTTACCACGTTTGTTACCATTTAGACAACGGACGTGTATAACATTTAAATAACACTTAGTTATCATTTTGACAACCAACGTTGTAATTTTTACAACGCATTGTTGTCAGAAGTCCTGCTCATAGACTAGAAATTAGGAAGATGCACAGTTAATATATTCAGCTAAACATAGCGTAGTCAATGGACCATTCAATATAATGGTCAATAGACTTAACAATAACCTACTCTATACAGAGGGAAAATACCGGTAGAAAAGTACCGAAATTGATACAATCCGTTCTCAGAAAAGGGCTTACCAGGTTTGTTACCATTTATACAACTGACGTGTATAACATTTTAATAACAGTTAGTTATCATTTTGACAACCAGCGTTCCAATTTTGACAACGCATTGTTGTCAGAAGTCCTGCTCATAGACTAGAAATTAGGAAGGTACACAGTTTATAGATTCAGCTAAATATAGCGTAGTCAACGGACTATTCCATAAAATAGACTAGTCAATAGACTAAACAATAACATAACTAGACGATTGACCACCATATCATATTTTATAGAATATTCCATAGATGAATCAAGGGGCTAGACCATAGAATAGTCAGCGGCCTAGTCAATAGGGAATTTCATAGACTATATCATAAGCATGTTCATAGACAAGTCAATAGAATATGTCATAGGATAGTCAACAGACCAATAAATAGCCCAGTCCATAAACTTTTTGAAAACTGAGTACTTTTTCAACATTTAAATTTTCCATTCCTGATATGCGAATCACAAAAGAAAAAATATGACATCTTTTTTTTAGATTGTAGACTCGTTTGTTTGATTGTAATATAAATGTTAAGCTAGATTAAATTTCATTTATTTCCATTTAAATGTAATTTATTATTGTTTATTTTTTACATTCTTTTGTTGTTGTTTTTTTGTTGCAAAAAACACATATATTTTCCCTATATTATTTTACATTATACTCTCGCTGTCGTTGTCATATAAATTTTGTTGGTCAGGTGTGACTCTTGTTGTAAGTAAATATTTATTTTGACATTTTCTTGTTTTTTATTGTTCTTTAAGTAAATTATTTTTTCTCTTTTCATTTGCATTGTTGTTGCTATTATTGTAAAGTTATTTTTTATTTTTATTGTCATTGTAATTGATTTAACAGTTAAACTTTTCACTTATATTGTTGTAGTTGTAACATTTTTCTTTCTGCTTATTTGAACAATGGTGTCGTTTATTCTAAATTTTTTCATTTTATTATTTTGTTAATATTTTAGGATCCTTGTAAACTCAAAAGCTTAAGTGTTTATTTATTTTTTCTCATACTTTCTTTTTTTGCATCATTTGTACTTTGTAGATTTTTGTAGTGGATTGTCTCTTATTGTTGTTTTTAGTTTTGTTTTCCAGGGATTTGAAGTCGTTCTCAGTTTAGGCAAAGCATTTTAAAGCATGAAGAAAATCTGTAAAGATACAAAAAAAAGTAACACATAAAAACTAATGTCAATGAAAAGGAAAGTTTTTATGAGAATTGTTTTCTTATTTTATTATTATTTATTTTTTCGTATTTTGTATTTTATAAGAAAAAGTTATCGTTGACACTATAACAAGTTTTATTTTATATTGTCGTTTTTATTTGCGTTTTGGGATCAAGTTTAGGCTGGCCATATTTTGGGTAACCACCAATACTTTTTTTATAGGAAGATATTATAAACAAGGATAATTTCTAATATCAGAAAATCTTATAAGGTCTTTCCAAACAGTATTCTTATAAGGCAAGGATGGCGAATTCGTTAATTTTGCATTTTTTTCAGAAATTATTGAAATTTACCGTTGTACCAAAAGTATTTGTTATACTGTTAGTCCATACAGTAATATATAGAGCAATACATATAATTTCAATTCATTCATAATAGCCCAGCAAAAAATGTGTGGAAAAAGATGTAGTATGTTCATCACAACTAGTAACCCGAAGTGCTTCAAATTTTACATTAGCGTGTCAATGGAGGGATGTTGTTCATTTTTGGCGATTTTAAACTACATCTAAACTTATTAACAATATGATATTTGGATGTCAAAAATGAAACACATTCTCCTAATGGCACGCATTCACCGGTTTTTCACCAATGACTTTCCTACATCTACATCAGTTAGTTAGTTAGTTAGTTAGTTAGTTAGTTAGTTAGTTAGTTAGTTAGTTAGTTAGTTAGTTAGTTAGTTAGTTAGTTAGTTAGTTAGTTAGTTAGTTAGTTAGTTAGTTAGTTAGTTAGTTAGTTAGTTAGTTAGTTAGTAGTTAGTTAGTTAGTTAGTAGTTAGTTAGTTAGTTAGTTAGTTAGTTAGTTAGTTAGTTAGTTAGTTAGTTAGTTAGTTAGTTAGTTAGTTAGTTAGTTAGTTAGTTAGTTAGTTAGTTAGTTAGTTAGTTAGTTAGTTAGTTAGTTAGTAGTTAGTTAGTTAGTTAGTTAGTTAGTTAGTTAGTTAGTTAGTTAGTTAGTTAGTTAGTTAGTTAGTTAGTTAGTAGTTAGTTAGTTAGTTAGTTAGTTAGTTAGTTAGTTAGTTAGTTAGTTAGTTAGTTAGTTAGTTAGTTAGTTAGTTAGTTAGTTAGTTAGTTAGTTAGTTAGTAGTTAGTTAGTTAGTTAGTTAGTTAGTTAGTTAGTTAGTTAGTTAGTTAGTTAGTTAGTTAGTTAGTTAGTTAGTTAGTTAGTTAGTTAGTTAGTTAGTTAGTTAGTTAGTTAGTTAGTTAGTTAGTTAGTTAGTTAGTTAGTTAGTTAGTTAGTTAGTTAGTTAGTTAGTTAGTTAGTTAGTTAGTTAGTTAGTTAGTTAGTTAGTAGTTAGTTAGTTAGTTAGTAGTTAGTTAGTTAGTTAGTTAGTTAGTTAGTTAGTTAGTAGTTAGTTAGTTAATAAGCACATAAACAAGTCCATATATAATTCTAAATACTTCTTCATACAACATTCCGCAGACTATATCATAGAACAGTCAATCGATAAGTCTAGACAATAGGCAATAAACTAGTCCATAGACTAATCATTA